CTTCTTTTATCGCTTACTATGACGACACCAATAAATTGTCTAATACATGTGCCCATCGTTTGAAAATATAAAGTCATAATCATGGAAAAGTTGCAAGGCATATAGTTCAAAATATTTCGTTGGAAAATTTTTTAAACCGGATAGAAACCAAATATAAACCCTATGAAGAAAATCAAATTAAATTATTTAAAAATATTGGGCTATATGTATAATGTATTAGGATACATATATGTTAATTTTAACTGGGCTTTAGGTTAAGTTGATCAAGTCAACACTTTAGGTTAAGCCAACAATGTTCTTGTATAAATACACAGCTTTGTCTTTTTCAAAAAAAAAATACACAGCTTTGTATATATGTTAATGCATGTAGCCCAATAAAAAACGAGAGCATATTGCACTACAAGAAGGAGAAAAAAAGAATCACAAAACCAATAGTAAATGTAAGAAAAAGTAAGAAAACTAAAAATGAATAATGTACATAGAGAAAAAAAGACATAGATCTCAACATCGTTAATAACTTTTAGCTGTTGTCAAAAAAGTAAAATAATTAATAATTTATCTATACTTAATAATTTAGTTATATACGTGAGTTAACCAAAAGTCTTGAGGAGGAAGACGATTGTTGTTCTTGTACATCTTTTTGTTTTCTGGTTAGGAAATTTTGAATGGAAGTTTCCCTCTTTTTCCATTACAACTTAAGAAACTCGGCTAATATCTTTAAAGCTTTTCCTTTTGATACCGACTTGCTTTTGCAGAAACAAGAAAGCTTATGTTTTGTATCATGATGATGTATGTAATATCCAAGTGAACATGTTCATGTTCATTTATATGAACATTTCTTTGCTCTCTTTGTTGTAATCAAAGTCCCTAATGCTATAACTTGTACTTCTCTGGTTTATTTCATTTGTAGTATTTAAATCAACAATTTGAACCAAGGGTAAAATAGTAAATTTGGCTGACACAATATAAACCCTATACTCTTCTTCTTCCTCGTTTCATTTGTTTCCAAGCTAAATCCCGTTTCATGTGTTGTAATTAGCTAAGATTTGCCTACTAATCGTCTGATTAAACGATTCGAATCGCTGTTTCGAATCCTTTATCTATTTCAGATTCAGGAGATTTTGAGCGATTTCTCAAAAGATGAACGTGTTTCTCAAGGACATAGCTCCGGCGGCGCAGAACATCATAAACACGCGTTTCATCATCCTCGACAAAGCCAGATCTCCGGCGGGGGCGACAAACGGAAAAAGTTGTATCGCGTTGGCGGCGGATGAAACGGCGGCGGTTCACATACAGCTTTGGGGAGAGGAGTGCGATGCGTTCGAAGCAGGCGATATCGTGAAGCTCACCAACGGGATATTCTCGTACGTGCGAAACAGTGGCCTCGTTCTAAGAGCTGGGAAACGTGGGAAGATGGAGAAGATGGGTGAGTTCACGATTGCGTTTGTTGAAACGCCAAACGTTAGTGAGATCCAATGGAATCCTGATCCGGAGAATCCCAAACGCTATATTCAGAACGGTGCCGTTTCAGCNTATTCCCGTGTTTTTCCTTCTTTGCCTTGAATAAAGATTTTGTAAACACTTTAAACCACATATAGAAAAATTACCGCCTGTCTTTACTCATAATTACCAAATTGATATACCAATTACTCTTAAATATTGGTATGCGAATATGAAATGAAGATCATTTGTCATGAATTAATAATTATTATGAATTACTTGGAAAAAAAAAAGTTCAAGTTAGACAAATAAAAGAATAATTACTCTAAACATAAAATTTTTTTCGTTTAGCGTCGAAACTCTACAAATCGATGTTAATTCGACGCTAATCAGATTTAGGGTTTATAGTAAAGAAACCACAACGGATACGAAAACAATCTTAACCATGACAATATTTCTTATAACCGAATGATTTTAAAATTTGAATGTACCTAAGGTTAATGATTATATATGTAAAACTATATATGTTTTTTGAAATTTTTATTCATGACATTTGTTTTAAACTTCGAATACATACTTATACAATCGCAATTAAGATACAATAAAGATAACAATTATGCTTCCCTGTCTGAATTATCATTTGAGTTATCGTCATCCTCATCGGTACTTTCTGCACTCTCGTTGG